CACAAGATTCACACTTAAAACACGAATGATTTTTATTCATGAATAACTTCGGAAATAGATGCTTTAAATATTGAAAGCTAGGATGTCCTAACCGATAATGCCATAATAAAACTTCACTGTCACTAGAAACCGAGATAGAGCTGAAACAAGTCTGTCAGTCTTGCCTTCCAAAGGTTGATCTTTTATTAAAGAGGTAGAGGCCACCATCCAGTTTAGCACCCCCAATCATCTTCCCCGAGGTTAAATCCTGAAATTCACAACAAGAAGACCAAAAATTAACCCGACAATTATGATCAAGGGTTAGTTTTGCTGACAGATAAGAGATTGTATGATAGGTTAGGAACATGTAGAACATCTTTAAGATTTAGAGAAGGAGAAATAAACACAGTTCCTTTTCCAGCAACACAGCAATTTTAACCTTTTGATTCCCTGCACAGGGTGTATATGAAGAGAAGAATTGTGAAGTGCCGGTCATATGATCAGTGGCACCTGAATCTAATATCTAGGAGCCATTAGATTTGGTATAAGCAATGGCTGTAGTGAAATAATTACCTGACTGGGCTAGAGAGCAAGATGGGTTAGAGTTTCTCAACGCTTGAGATTGAAACATTTTATATAAGTGCTCTATTTGTTCTTTTGTGAAAGGAAGAGACTTCGAGGATGATTGCTGCCCTGGATCAGAATTGCTTACTTGAAGCGCGCGGACATCTCCCCCTGACTTGTTGTCACTGTCTGATTTTTTCTTCCAACCTGCTAGTTTCCCGTGTAGCTTCCAGCAGGTTTCCCGAGTATGCCATGGATTTTTACAATGATCACACCAAGGTCTTTGTTTTCCTCCTCGTTTATCTCCGTCTACGTCTGCACTTCGGGCCACAAGAGCAGACCCCTTCATTCTCAGTTTTTGTTTCATTAACATTCTTCAACATCACTTGCCGCCGTGCTTCTTCTCTACGCACTTCTGAAAAAACTTCTCTTATAGTAGGCAAGGGCTTTCACCCTAAGATACGTCCCCGAACCTCATCGAGTTCTTTATTCAAACCAACCAAGAAGACAAAGACCCGGCCTCTTTCTATCTTCTTTTTGTACCGAGCACTGTCACTCGGACTTTCCCATTCTTCTTCAAATAAATCTAGCTCCTGCCAAACAGCCATCATCTCATTATAATAAGCAGTTATGTCACGCTTACCTTGCTGCATCTTCCACATTCGGGTATTCAGTTCGAACAGTTGTGAATGATTGTCCAGATCTGAATAGGTTTCCTTAACAGCTTCCCACACATCACGAGCAGACGGCAGGAACATGAATGGTTTTCCAACCACAGGATCCATAGAGTTGATCAGTCAGGCGATAACCATAGAATTTTCAGAACACCACTGCCTGTACTTTGGATCATCAGTGGCTGGCGGTTTTACTTCGCCATTCAAATAGCCGAGTTTCCCTTTGTCGTCGATCACCAACCGCACGGACTGAGACCACTCAAGATAATTCTTTCCATTCAATTTGTGAATGGTAATTTGAAGAGAATTSTCAGARAGAGAGATGRCYGCTGACTGAATACCTCCCTCCAAAGATGTCACACCACTGGTAGCATCCGAAGAGGTTGAACCAGAGCCAACCATGGCGGCCTTAAAATTCATGATCAAACTCTAAGGCTTTGATACCATGTGGAAAAATAAAGAGGAAGAGAAGAAGAAATGAAGGAGAGAAAAGAAATACTTCTGTATTGATAATATGTTGATAAAACATGTTGAGCATACAACTTAAATAAGAAAAGATAGGAGAGACGAACTCCTAGGATCTCTCTCAATTAGGGATTGATTAAATCTTTCCCTTAATCCAAGGATATGACTTTCCTAATTTTATTCAAATCTAATCTTTCCTAAATTTATTCAAATCTGTAATCAATCAAATCAAATCTTTTTAAATTTGCAGCAAATCATATCTTTCTTAATTTTCCGCAAATCATATCTTGTCGACAGTATTGTATTATAAATCATATGATATATACATATATTAGTAATGATGTAGTGAAGGATTAAATGCAAAATTAGATCTATTGGCAACTGCATTAGAAACAAGAGGTTTTTAAATAACTAGTACTAAACGGAATATATATATACATATACATATATATATATAGGATGAGGTAAATGAAAAGATGCATCCGGAGTCTTATATGATAGGCGAAACTTCGGACAAAAGGAAAATTCTAAAAACAGTTGTAAGGCCATCTATTTTGTATGGAGCAGAATGTCAGGCAGTTAACAAACAACATATCCAAACAATGAGTGTGCAGAAATGCAAATGCTTGCATAGATGAGTGGTAAAACATGAATTGAGAATAAAAACAAAGTCATATGAAAGAACCTAAGAGTAGCTCCAATAGGTGATAGAAAAGGGAGAAAGTAGATTGAGATAGTTTGTCACGTGCACAGAAAACCATTTACAACACATGTTAGAAAAAGTGATCAGTTACAAGTTGAAGAGGCTAGAACAGCTAGGAGCGGACAGAAAAAGACATGTGTGGAAGTAATAAGAAATTATTTAAGCGCCAATAATTTAACAATGGATATTGACACTGAACAGAACAGAACAAGAAATGATTTAGCCAACCTCATATAGTTGGGATAAGGCTTGGATGATGATGATAGTGACACTGAACAGAACCAAGGTTCGCATAGTATCATACATATCATATTGGTATTGAAAGTCATCAAAATTCGAAATATTGAGATTTAAGAGATATTAACAGTTTGAACTATTAATACTCATCCTAATAAGCCTATCTGTAAATATCAAACAGAAAAAATAAAATAAAAAAAGGAGTACCAACCCTTTGACATGCACGATCCTCAATTTCTTTTCTTTTTTTTTTGTATTGTGCATGTTGATATTTTAAACCTTGAACAGAACAGAATGGCTAAACATTATTCATGTAACCGACCCCATATATTTAGGACATGGCTTAGATGATGATGAGTTATATTAGTATGATGTCCATTACTTATTTTCTTGGATTCTTATACTTCTTTGCTGGATTTAATGTGTCATTTCTTTGCTTATTTGCCTTGGATTCAGTATGTTGTAATACACATTTACTTGGATCAATTATGCTATTGACTTATTGCTTTGTTTATTTCTTTGAATTCTTTCTATATGAAAACTCGTGATTTTGTCTTGTCGCTTTCTTGAATGCAGTTGACTATATTGTGTATGGAATTTGGAATATTATGTTTTATGGTAGAGAGTAACATGGCCTCATGAAACTAATTGTGTAATATGTCTTGATATGGAAAATTCATTAATATTAACTTTCTTTTAGCATTTTCAATATAAAACAAGAAGAAATTAAAAATATTGCACATGTTAACATGAACCATATCCAATAAATTGAAGGTGTTATTTGTCAAAATTACCACCTAACTAACACCTAGGCACTTGGATTGTAGTGAGATGAACCAAAAACAGTACAGATGCAAATAATTAAGACTTACATAACAATGAAATTCTATGTAGTATTTAAAAAGACAATGATTACCATCACATTATAATGTATTAAAGTATAGTCCATGTCATATCCAATAGCACTGATTGACCGAAGATTAAGCGTTCGGCTACAAAATATGCCACGAGGAGAATGTCTTGATGAGAAGGGATCCTGCATACCAAAATTAATTGTTAAAGAACAATTAAGTATGCACCGCTTCATAGGTAACAAGTAAGAAATAATAATGTTAGAGAGATTTCAAAATATAACTGCTAGCTAGTATATACAGGGTAATGAGAAGGAACATCTCAATAGACTTATCGCACGCAGCAAATTGAAATGAGGACACCTCAAAATAAAACTTTTTTTTGAGAATAAAGCATAGATCTCCATAAGTGCTAATACAAGCTGCTCAACTGATCAGATAATTAAATCCTAAGAAACCTACATCACTAGATAATTTAACAAAATTTAACATCACTATGGTCACATTGCATTAGTTATTCTTTGACTGTCTGTCTTCCCAATCTTTGATTCCAGCGCATTTGTCAAGGTGTGTGGGCAATTCTAGGCAATAGTAGTGTGCCTAGTTGCACAAGCAACTGCTCAGGTTTTGCCTAGGTGAAAGAATTTTACAAAGAATAAACTAAGTTAGGTTCTACATTAGTTTCCCAGTTTATTTACTGATCACATGCATGTGAATTATATATATATAGACAAATAGATAGATAGATAGATAAAGCAATGCCCTTTACTAATAAGTAATAACATTAACTTCCTTTCAAAACATAGCCAATCATTACATTTAAAAGACAAGCATTTCAAATCTACCAATTTCAATATTTCAAATACAATATTATAATATTACAAATATTTAATAGAAAAACTACATGTCAAAAAAAATATTAGCGATTAAAGAAGGCCAAATTCTATAAAAATAAAATTTTCTAGAAATAAAGAATACCAAAAAGGGAAAATAACAGGGGGAAAAATAATTAGGGTGGGTGGCTCCCTAAGGAGTCAAAGTTGGTGATAGGGTGGTTACAAACAAGTAGTATGGGGATTAGGATTCACAGGAAAACCATGAGAGAGACTAGAAGCCTTTCAAGAGAAATTGATTTACTTGTTAGATGGGTTAAAAGGTCAACAAATGGTTTGGCTGATACATTAACCAAACAAGGGCTAAATAGGAGAGAATTATCCTGGGCTGAACTGTAATAATGAATTCTTTTTGGGGTCAGATTCCTTAACTCTAGGGACTGAAGCTGTGTATTCTTATTTAAGTTTAATTTAATGAAAGTTACTTTTCCTAACAAAATAATAATAATAGCAACAACAACAACAAGGGGCAAAGCCCCTATTCTTTTCAAAACCCATGAAACATGGTGTACTGGTCAATTTGAATTTCGTATTCTATTTCTATTGTTAATAAAAATATTTCTTATTTATCATACTTATTTTTGTTTAATATGATAGATATATAATATTGGAGGTGTACACAATTTTCTCTTTTTTTGTAATTTCTACAATTTTTATTTCCATCTATTTTTGAATTTTATTATATAATTATGGCATCATGGGTTAACCCATTTAAGTTGAAAGAAAAAAAAAACAATTTAATTTTTCAGTACTTTAGATTTTCTATTTTATTTCCATAATTAATTCTAAAAAAATCTTGTTTATCCTACCCATCTTTGTTTAACATGATAAATATATAATATTTGAGGTGACTTAAATTTCTCCATAATTTTTCTATGTTTTAGTAATTTTTATATATTTCTATCTATTTTTATTATTTAATTATGACATCATTGGTTATTGTTTAATCTAGCAAATGTAGAATGCCCATAGGGTATCTCTATGAATCATCTGACCCTTTTCTGCAAATTTTACTCTAAAGTCTGGAATCATTTCAGAAAATTTGCTCCAGTTGTTGGGTGCTTCTCAGATTATGTGAAGGCCTTGTTAGCTGGGTGGAGGGTGCAAGAAATGTCCAAGAAAGGGAGAACTTGCTGGGATGTGATTCCCCCTAGCGGTTTTGTGGGTAATCTGGTCTGAAAGGAATAGTATAATTTTTTTAGCAAAAATCGAATCCAGAGGAGGTGGTTATCAATTCTGCAGTTGACATCTTGAGAGCTTGGCTTTCTACTCTTACATGTTTCAGTCCTGATGACCTTTCTTCCTCTTTCTTGAATGTAAATTTTTTGGGGGCTGTTATAATTCGGCCTGCCTTTGAGTTCTGTTAGTCTGATAACAGCTAAGAAGAAAGAGGAAGAAAGAAGGAAGAAAGAGAGAGAAAGGAGAGAAGAAAAGTCTGGTTCGAATTAGGGAAAAAGTTCCTCTCCCATTCGGCCAGACATGTTTTTATATTATTAATATAATGGGAAAGACACATGTGCCCTTATTTAAGTGAGGGACACTAGTTCTACTATAATATTACAAATCAGCAACCTCAACATAAGTATAAAGACAGAAATACCCCTACACTAACACTCCCCCTCAAGCTAGTGAGTATATATCATATAATCCCAGCTTGTTACATATGTAGTCCACTCTTCCCCAACTCAACCCTTTTGTAAATAAGTCTACCCACTGGTTTCCTGTATTAACGTATGCAGTGTCTATCACTCCATTCAGCACTTTCTCTCTCACAAAGTGACAGTCAACCTCTATGTGCTTGGTTCTTTCATGAAACACCGGATTAGAAGAAATATGAACTACAGCCTGATTGTCAMAATAGAGCTTCATTGGAGTATTAATGTTGTATCCTATCTCCTGTAGAAGGTTCCTTAACCACACTAATTCACAAGCAGTATGTGCCATAGCTCTATATTCTGCCTCTACACTGCTTCTTGCCACGATTGGTTGCTTCTTACTTTTCCATGTCACCAGATTACCCCACAGAAAAGTGCAATAATAACCTGTGGTAGACCGCCTATCAGACATAGAACCGGCCCACTCAGCATCAATATACCCTTCTATTTCAAGTTTTCGACCACTTTTGTATATCAAACCACGACCAAGGGCCCCTTTTAAATACCTCACAATTCTTAGAACCGCATTCCAATGAGAAACCAGAGGTTTCTGCATGAACTGACTTACCACACTAAGCGCAAATGAAATATCTGGCCGAGTAATGGTTAGGTAGTTCAGTTTACCTACAAGTCGTCGGTATCTGCCAGGGTCTTCAAACACTTCACCCATATCACTGCTCAGCCTAGTATTTGTTTTCATAGGTGTTTCAGTTGGTTT